AATAACTTTATGTCAGTAAATTTGACAAATTTAATGAAATGGAAAAAATCCGTGAAAAATATAGCTTACCAGACCTGACACAAGAGAAAAAAGAAAATATGAATAACTTCATATCTGCTGAAATAATTGAATCCATTATCAGAAGTCTTTCCAGAAAGAAAATGCTAGGCCCAAATGGTTTCACTGGTGAATTCTATTAAATATTTAAGGAAGAAATATTACAGTATTACACAAATTCCTTCAGAAAAAGAAAGAACTCCTTCCAATTCATTTTATGAGACTACTATAACTCTTTTACTAAGTTCATGAAGGATATAAGTCTATAATTTTTTTCCCTTTGGTAATTTCTATCCTTTGTGAATGTAGATGTAAAATGTTTAAAAAATATCAGGAAATTAAATCCAGCAATATATAAAAATGATGACCAAGTAGGGTTTATCCCAGGAAAACCCTATCTTGGTTTAACATTAAAAAATTAATCAGTGTAATTTAACATATTAACAGAAATGTGAGAAACCATGTGATCATCTCCATAGATGTAAAAATAGCATATGACAAAATTCAACATCTATTCATAATAAAAATTCTCAGGAAACTAGAAACTGAGGGGAGCTTCCTCAATCTGATAAGGGACATCTGCTGAAAAAATACTACATCATAAACTTCATCATACTTGATTGAAGAGTTTCCCCCAAGATTGTGAGCAAGGCAAGGATGCCCAGTCTCCCCAATTCTACTTAACATTGTATTGAAGGTTCTAGCATTGCAATAAGGCAAGAAAAAGAGATAAGAGATATTGTAAAGATCAGAAATGAAGAAGTAAAACTATTTGGAGATGGCATAATTATATACTTAGAAAATTGTAAGGAATCAAAATAACAGATACTCAAAGCAATACTTGAAGATCACAGTAAGATCACAGGATACAAGGTTGAGCTACAAAAATCAATTGTGTTATTATAAACTAAGAGTGAAAAAAATTAGAAAATTAAAGTCAATTAAGAAAACTTAAAGTCAATTAAGTCAATTTACAGTAGTGTCAAAAAAACAAAATACTAAGGAATAAATTTGACAAAATGTGTAAAACCTCTATAATAAAAATGATGGAACATTGCTAAGAGAAATAAAAGAAGACCTAATGAATAGAAAGATACCATTTTTGGGATGGGGACTCGGTATTGTAAAAATGTCTATTGTATAGATTCAACACAATTCCAGTCATAATCCTAGGAACCTTTTTTTTTTTTTTTGTAGACATTAACAAGCTGATTCTAAAATTTATATGGAAAAGCAGTGGACTTAGCATGTCTAAAACAATCTTGAAAAAGGAAGAGCATATTATAGAACTTAGACTACATGACTTCAAGATACTTCAAGATATATTATAAAACTCTAATAATCAAGACATTATGGTGTTGGCTAAGGATCAACAAACAGAACAGAGACCCTAGATGTAGACCTTACATGCGCTTAAAGGGTCATTTACTTATTGACAAAGGCATCAAAGCATTCTAGTGGAGAAAGGAAAGACTTCAACAACTGATGCTGGAATAGCTGGAAAAAAATCTTGAACTCTGTCTCATTCCAAAATTAATTTGAGATGTATTTTAAACATAAATATAAAAACTAAACATTAAAAAATCTTAAAAGCCAAATATAAAAGCTAAGTATAAAAAATAAAATGAAAATTTAAGAACTAAGTATACATTTTATATATAAGAAATATAAAGCTTTTAGAGGAAAACATAGGGGAATGACTTGGTAGTAGGCAAAGGTTTCTTAGGAGAAAGCAATAACCATAAAAATTAAAAATTGATGTCACAATTTATCTAAATTAAAAACTTTGTCTCATCAAAATATACTAATAAAAAAATGAATAGGTGAGTCACAGACTGAGAGAAAATAGTAGTAAAACAAAGGACCAGTATCCAGCCTCTACACTACAACTCAACAGTATAATGATGAACAACCCAATTAAAAAATGGGTAAAAGGTACATCCATACCATGGAATAATACTCACCAACAAAAAGGAATACATTATTAATACACACAACGACTTGGATGAACCTCAAGGAAATTATGCTGAGTGAGAAAAACCAATCACAGAAGGTTATATACTGTATGACTCTAATTGTCTAATATTTATGAAATAATAAAATTATAGAGATGGGAAATGGATTAGTGGTTGCCAGGGGTTAGGAACATAGGGAGGGGAGGAGATGGTTGGGCTATAAAGGAATAACACAAGGGAGTCTTGTGGTTATGATATAGTTGAGTATGTTCATTGTGGTAGTGGTTATGTAAGGCTATACATGTGATAAAATTGCATGGAACTATATACATACACATACGCGATGGCATGTATAACTGGTGAAATCTAAGTAAGCCCTATGGATTATACCAAGGGTAATTTCTTGGTTTGAATATTGTACTATAGTTTGTAAGATGTTAACATTGAAAGGGGCTGGGTGAAGCCTGCATGAGACTTTCCTGTACATTTCTTTGCAACCTCCTGTGAATCTACAGTTATTTCAAAATAAAAAGTAAATAAAAATGTCCTGTTGGGAGTGATAGGTAAAAGATTTGACAAAGAGAGGAGCTACTCTTTTTTCTTGATCAATGACTACAATTCATCTATATCTAAATCTGTATTAGGCAGCTCAGGCTGCCATAAAAAAATACCATGGACTGAGTGACTTAGACAACAGAAATGTATTTCCTCCTAATTCTGGTCGCCAGAAGTCTGAGATTAACATTTTGTGCCTGATGAGGGCTCTCTTCCTGGCTTGCAGATGGCCCTGTTCTCACACTGTCCTCACATGGTGAAGAGAGAGAGCACAATCTCTCTCTTCCTCCTGTAAGACCACCAGTCCTATCCTATTCTACCCACCAGTCCTGTGAATTAGGACTCCATCCTTATTACTTCATTTAACCTTAATTGCCTCCTAAAAGCACTTTCTCCAAATACAGTCACATTGGGTGTCATGGCTTAAATGTATAATTTTGGAGGGACACAATTTGGTCCATAGCAATATCTATATGGGATCAAGTTTCTTTCCAGTCTGACTAATATATGTGTATTTGCTTGCCTAAAAATATGTTGGTTCATTTATTCGGCAAATACTTGTGTGCCCAGTCTGAACCAAGCACTGTCCTAGACACCAGTAGGACAATTGTGAGCAAGAGTGGTAGTTCCCAGCAGTCTTGCTGTTTACATTTTAATAGGAGAAAGGACATTAAGTAAACAAGTAAATGAATAAACAATATTATATACTGACAAGTGTTATTAAGAAAAGTGAGAAGAAGAGGGATAGAAATTGGCAGGTGTAAACAGGTTTGTTTTAGGGTGGTTGGGGCTTTTTGAGAAGGTGATATTCGAGTGGAAACATGAAAAAAGAGCTCAAACCATATGAATATCTAAAGCAAGAAGCAAGAGCAGTCCTAATGGAACAGTAAATGCAGAGGTCTTGGGTCGGAGGAAAAAAGGCTTTGATGTTTGAGGAACAGCAAGAAGACCAGGATGATTACTCAAAAGGTAAGTGAAAAGTAGAGTGCCAAGATGAAGTCAGTAAGTTAGGCAAGGGCTAAATCTTGTAAACGTTTGTATGTCATAGGGGAAGGCATGTGACTTTATTTTTATTTTTTGCCCTGTTGCACCGCTTGCCAGATCTCAGTTCCCCAACCAGGGATTGAACCCGGGCCACAGCAGTGAAAGCCTGAAATCCTAACCCCTAGGCCACCAGGGAACTCCTGGCATGTGATTTTGAAGTGTGATAGAAAGGCATTGGAGGTTTCTGAGCAGGGGAATGACATGAGCTGGTTTATTTTATAATTATCACTCTATGGAGAATAGATCGAATGGGGGCAAAATGGATAGTAGGAAGACCAATTAGGAGGCTATTTCATTTGTCCCAGTGGAATATGGTAGTGGTTTTTAATTAATTAATTAATTTATATTTATGGCTGCATTGGGTCTTTGTTGTTGCATGTGGGCTTTCTCTAGTTGCAGCGAGTGGGGGCTACTCCTTGTTGCGGTGCACAGGCTTCTCATTGCAGTGGCCTCTCCTGTTGTGAAGCATGGGCTCCAGGCACAGGGGCTTCAGTAGTTGTGGCACGAGGGCTCAGTAGAAGTGGCTCGTAGGCTTTAGAGCGCAGGCTCAGTAGTTGTGACCCATGGGCTTAGTTGCTCTGTGGCATGTGGGATCTTCCCAGACCAGGGCTCGAACCCGTGTCCCCTGCATTGGCAGGTGGATTCTTAACCACTGTGCC